GTGGGTTAATGTAGTAGGTGGGTAGGTTAATGTAGTAGGTGGGTGTGTTAGTGCAGTAGGTGGGTGTGTTAGTGCAGTAGGTGCGTGGTTTAATGTAGTAGGTGGATGAGTTAATGTAGTAGGTGGGTGTGTTAGTGTAGTAAGTGGGGAGGTTAATGTAGTAGGTGGGTGGGTTAATTTAATAATTGGGTAGGCTAATGTAGTAGGTGGGTGTTTTTAGTGTAGTAGGTGGGTGGGTTAATGTAGTAGGTGGGTGGATTAATGTAGTAGGTGGGTGTGTTAGTGTAGTAGGTGTGGGTTAATGTAGTAGGTGGGTGTGTTAGTGTAGTAGTGGTGGTGGTTAGTGTAGTAGTGGGTGTGTTAGTGTAGTAGGTGGGTGGGTTAGTGTAATAGGTGGGTGGGTTAATGTAGTAGGTGGGTGGTTAGTGTAGTAGGTGGGTGTGTTCGTGTAGTAGGTGGGTGGGTTAATGTAGTAGGTGGGTGCGTTAGTGAATTAGGTGGGTGGGTTAGTGTAATAGGCGGGTGGGTTAGTATGTAGTAGGTGGGTGGTTTAATGTAGTAAGTGGGTGGGTTAATGTAGTAGGTGGGTGGATTAATGAAATAGGTGGGTGTGGTAGCGTAGTAGGTGGGTGGGTAATGTAGTAGGTGGGTGGATTAATATAGTAAGTGGGTGTGTGTAGTGTAGTAGGTGGATGGGTTAATGAAGTAGGTGGGTGGGTTAGTGTAGTAGGTGGGTGGGTTAATGTAGTAGGTGGGTGGGGTTAATGTAGTAGGTGGGTGTGTTAGTGTAGTAGGTGGGCGGGTTAATGTAGTAGGTGGGTGGGTTTAATGTAGCAGGTGGGTGTGTTGTGTAGTAGGTGGGTGGGTTAATGTAGTAGGTGGGTGGGTAAATGTAGTGGTGGGTGTGTTAGTGTAGTAGGTGGGTAGGTTAATGTAGTAGGTGGGGGTTAATGTAGTAATTGGGTGGGTTAATGTAGTAGGTGGGTGTGTTAGTGTGGTAGGTGGGTGTGTTACTGTAGTAGGTGGGTGGATTAATGTAGTTGGTGGGTGGATTAATGTAGTAGGTGGGTGTGTTAGTGCAGTAGGTGGGTGGTTAATGTAGTAGGTGGGTGGGTTAATGTAGAAGGTGGGTGGGTTAGTGTAGTAGGTGGGTGGGTTAATGTAGTATGTGGGTGGGTTAATGTAGTATGTGGGTGGGTTAATGTAGTAGGTGGGTGGGTTAACGTGGTAGGTGGGTTGGTTTATGTAATAAGTGGGTGGGTTAATGTAGTAGGTGGGTGGGATATTGTAGTAGGTGGGTGGGTTAGTGTTGTAGGTGGTGGGCTAATGTAGTGGGTGGGTGGGTTAATGTAGTAGGTGGGTGGGTTAATGTAGTAGGTGGGTGGGGTTAACGTAGTATGTGGGTGGGTTAATGTAGTAGGTGGGTAGGTTAATGCAGTAGGTGGGTGGGTTAGTGTAGTAGGTGGGTGGGTTAATGTAGTAGGTGGGTGTGTTAGTGTAGTAGGTGGGTGGTGTTAATGTAGTAGGTGGTGGGTTAATGTAGTAGGTGGGTTGGTTAATGTAGTAGGTGGGTGTGTTAGTGTAGTAGGTGGGTGTGTTAGTGTAGTAGGTGCGTGGTTTAATGTAGTAGGTGGGTGAGTTAATGTAGTAGGTGGGTGTGTTAGTGTAGTAGGTGGGGAGGTTAATGTAGTAGGTGGGTGGGTTAATTTAACAATTGGGTAGGCTAATGTAGTAGGTGGGTGTTTTAGTGTAGTAGGTGGGTGGGTTAATGTAGTAGGTGGGTAGATTAATGTAGCAGGTGGGTGTGTTAGTGTAGTAGGTGTGTGGGTTAATGTAGTAGGTGGGTGGGTTAGTGTAGTAGGTGGGTGGGTTAATGTAGTAGGTGGGTGGGTTAATGTAGTAGGTGGGTGGGTTAGTGTAGTAGGTGGGTGGGTTAATGTAATAGGTGGGTGGGTTAGTGTAGTAGGTGGGTGGGTTAATGTAGTAGGTGGGTGGGTTAATGTAGTATGTGGGTGGGTTAATGTAGTAGGTGGGTGGGTTAATGTAGTAGGTGGGTGGGTTAGTGTAGTAGGTGGGTGGGTTAATGTAGTAGGTGGGTGGGTTAATGTAGTAGGTGGGTGGGTTAATGTAGTAGGTGGGTGGGTTAATGTAGTAGGTGGGTGGGTTATTGTAGTAGGTGGGTGGGTTAATGTAGTAGGTGGATGGGTTAGTGTAGTAGGTGGGTGGGTTAATGTAGTAGGTGGGTGGGTTAATGTAGTAGGTGGGTGGGATAATGTAGTAGGTGTCTGGGTTTATGTAGTAGGTGGGTGTGTTAGTGTAATAGGTGGGTGGGTCAGTGTAACAGGTGGGTGGGTTAGTGTAGTAGGTGGGTGGGTTAATGAAGTAGGTGGGTGGGTTAGTGTAGTAGGTGTTTTGTATTAGTGTAATAGGTGGGTGGGTTAGTGTAATAGGTGGGTGGGTTAGTGTAGTAGGTGTGTGTATTAGTGTAATAGGTGGGTGGGTTAGTGTAAAAGGTGGGTGGGTTAGTGTAGTAGGTGGGTGAGTTAATGTAGTAGGTAGTGGGTTAGTGTAGTAGGTGGGTGGGTTAGTGTAGTAGGTGCGTGGGTTAGTGTGGTTAGATAGGTGGTTAGTGTAGTAGCAGGTGGGTTAGTGTAATAGGTGGGTGCGTTGTGCGGTAGGTGTGTGAGTTAGTGTAGTGAGTGGGTTAGTGCAATAGGTGGTGGGTTAGTGTTAATGGTGGGTGGGTTGTGTAGTAGGTGGGTTAGTGTAATGGGTGGGTGGTTAGTGTAATGGGTGGGTGTGTTAGTGTAATAGCGGGTGGGTTAGTATAATAGGTGGGTGGGTAAGTGTAGCAGGTGGGTGGGTTAATGTAGTAGGTGGGTGGATTAGTGTAGTAGGTGGGTATGTTAGTGTGGTAGGTGGGTGGGTTAGTGTATAGGTGGGTGGGTTAATGTAGTAGGTGGGTGGGGTTAGTGTAGCAGGTGGATGTGTTAGTGTAATAGGTGGGTTGAAAGTGTAATAGGTGGGTGGGTTAGTGTAATAGGTGGGTGGGTTAGTGCAGTAGGTGGTGGGTTAGTGTGGTAGGTGGGTTGGTTAGCGTAGTAGGCGGGTGGGTTAGTGTAATAGGTTGGTTGTTAGTGTGGTAGGTGGGTGGGTTAGTGTAAGTAGGTTGGTGGTCAGTGTAATAGTTGGGTGGGTTAGTGTAGTAGTGGGTGTGTTAGTGTAATAGGTGGGTGGGTTAGTGTAAAAGGTGGGTGGGTTAGTGTAGTAGGTGGGTGGGTTAATGTAGTAGGTGGGTGGGTTAGTGTAGTAGGTGGGTGTGTTTAGTGTAATAGGTGGGTGGGTTAGTGTAAAAGGTGGGTGGGTTAGTGTAGTAGGTGGGTGGGTTTAATGTAGTAGGTGGGTGGGTTAGTGTAGTAGGTGGTGGGTTAGTGGTAGTAGGTGGGTGGGGTTAGTGTGGTAGGTAGGTTGGTTACTGTATAGGCGGATGGGTTAGTATAATAGGTGGGTTGTGTTAGTGTGGTGGTGGTGTGGTGAGTAAGTGTAGTAGGTGAGTGGGTTAGTGTAATAAGTGGGTAGGTTAGTGTAATAGGTGGGTGGGTTAGTGTAGTAGGTGGGTGGGTTAATGTAGTAGGTGGGTGGGTTAGTGTAGTAGGTGGGTGGGTTAATGTAGTAGGTGGGTGGGTTAGTGTGGTGGGTGGGTGGGTTAATGTAGTATGTGGGTTGGTTAGTGTAGTAGGTGGGTGGGTTAGTCTAATAGGTGGGTGTGTTAGTGTGGTAGGTAGGTGGGTTAGTGTAGTAGGTGGGTGGGTTAGTGTAATAGGTGGGTGGGTTAGTGTAGTAGGTGGGTGGGCTAGTTAAATAGGTGGGGTGGGTTAGTGTAGTATGTGGGTTTGTTAGTGTGGGAGGTGGGTTGGTTAGTGAAGTAGATGAGTTTGTTAGTGTAATAGGTGGGTGGGTGAGTGTGGTAGGTGGGTAGGTTAGTGTGGAAGGTGGGTGGGTTAGTGTGGTAGGTGGGTGGGTTAGTGTAGTACGTGGATGGGCTAGTGTAGTAGGTCGATAGGTTAGTATAGTAAGTGGGTAGGTTAGTGTGGTAGGTGGGTGGGTTAGTGTTCTAGGTGGGTGGGTTCATGTGGTAGGTGGATGGGTTAGTGTAGTACGTGGGTGTGTTAGTGTAATAGGTGGGTGGGTGAGTGTGGTAGGTGGGTAGGTTAGTGTGGTAGGTGGGTGGGTTAGTGTAATAGGCGGGTGGGTTAGCGTAATAGTTGGGTGTGTTAGTGTGGTAGGTGGGTGGGTTAGTGTAGTAGGTGGGTTTGTTAGTGTAATATGTGGGTGGGTTAGTGTAATAGGTGGGTGGGTTAGTGTAGTAGGTGGATGTGTTAGCGTAGTAGGTAGGTGGGTTAGTGTAGTAGGTGAGTAGGTTAGTGTAGTAGGTGGGTAGGGTAGTGTAGTAGGTGGGTAGGTTAGTGTGGTAATTGGGTGGGTTAGTGTGGCATGTGAGTGGGTTAGAGTAGTAAGTGGATGGGTTAGTGCATATTTCAGTAGGTCAGTGGGTTGGTTCAGTGGGTAGATTGGTTGGTTCAGTGGGTTACTTCAGTGAGTTGGTGGGTTATTGCAGAGTGGTGGACAGGTTAGTGTATGAGTGGCTTACACAAGCATGTTGGGGAATTTTATTATCATATGGGTAGGTCAGTGAAGAGGGTGGGTGGGCTAGCTGATTGGCTGTGTGGCTTAGTGGAATGAGTGGGTTGGGTAGAATGGAGAGGTTTTAGGAGATAGATTCACTCTCAGGAAGGTTTATAAGCTTCAGATACTGTACTGACTTATGTACACTGGATGCACGTGGGACTGACCACTCTGGGTGTCCTCGCAGGAGATGGAGCAGATGGTGGACGCGGGTCTTACCAAGTCTATCGGCGTCTCAAACTTCTCCATCAAGCAGATAAGGAGACTTTGCGCCATCGCCAGAATCCCGCCAGCTGTCCAGCAGGTAGGTTTAGAAAGGCATGATCCAGCTGTTCAGCAGGTGGGTCTGGCATGGTATATCCAGCTGTCCAGCAAGTAGGTCTAGCATGGCATGAGCCAGCTGTCCAGCAGGTGGGTCTAGCATGGTATGATCCAGCTGTCCAGCAGGTGGGTCTAGCATGGTATGATCCAGCTGTCCAGCAGGTGGGTCTAGCATGGTATGATCCAGCTGTCCAGCAGGTGGGTCTAGCATTGTATGATCCAGCTTCACTCACCTAGTTGTACTCAGGGGTCGAGTCTCAGCCCCTGGCCCCGTCTCCCTACTGGCTGCTACAGGGATTCACTCTTCCCTAGCTGCTTGATCCCTATCATACCTATCTTAAAGCTATGTGTGAATTCCTCTTTTACCACTTCGTATGTCATTCCACTTCCTGACCTCTCTAAGGCTAAAGAAGTATTTCCCACATCCCTATGACTCATCTGAGCTTTTAACTTCCAGTTGTGACCTCGTGTACCTGAGATTCGCCTCTCAAATAGACTCGTCCTCTTCACCTCGTCAATTCCTCTCGGTATTTTGTATCTCGTAATCTTGTCACTTATGGTCCTTCTGTCCTTTATTGTCGTTAGGTTTACAGTCTCTAGCCTCTCCTCATAGCTCATACCCCTCAGCTCTGGGACTAATTTCGTTGCAAATCTTTGCATTTCCCCTATCTTCTTTACACACCTTATCAGATGCGGGTTGCATACTGGCGCTGCATACTCCAAGATGGACCGGACATATGCTGGGTATAGGGTCGTCAATGACTACTTGTTGAGATTCTTAAAAGTTACTCTTAAATCTGTCAGCCTTGCGTTTGCTGCAGTGGTTATCTTGTTGTGTGCCTCGGGTACTATGCTTGTGACTAGGCTCACTCCGAGGTCCTTCTCTTTCGGGAAGGTTTGCAGCCTTTGTCCCCCTGATCCTGAACTCTCCGCTCGTCTTTGCTCTACCCTAATTTTCATAATTTTACAGTTGCAGGGGGTAAATTGTAATAGACACTTGCCAGACTAATCCTGTAGCCTTTGTAGGTCTATTTGTAGTCTTTCCTGGTCTACTCCTGTTTGTATTTTCCTCATTAGTTTCACATCAGCTGCGAGCAGGGGCACCTCCGACTTGATTTCTCATGACATGTCGTTTACGTATACAAGAAACAGTAATAGTTCGAATACTGACCCTTTTGGAATGTCACTCGTTACTCTCGCTCATTTCGACATCTGGACAATAATTCGTAATTTCTTTCATGTTAAGTATTCCTTGATTCTGTTACTCCTGTCTGCTCCTTTAGCTTTTGTCTCGATTTCTTGTCGAGTACTGTATCAACGCCTTCTTTCAGCCCAGCAATATTCAGTGCACCCATCCCTCTCTCTCTTCTGCCTACCTCTCGTTATTTTGTCAAAGAACTCTAGCAGATTTGTGAGACAGGATTTACTGCAGAGTATGAATCTTCTCCTTTCCGGGTGCTCCACTACTCTTCTCCTGATAATCTTCTCCATGCCCTTACATATTATGCATGTTAGTAACACTGGCATGTAGTTCAATGCCACCTGTCTGTCCCTTTTTTTAATGCTGGGACTACACTCGCTATTTTCCAGACCTCAGGTAGCTGCTCTATCTCAAGTAGCTTGTTGAAGATCGCTGCTAGTGCTGCACAGTTCCCAGTGACTCAGCTGTGAAGCAAGTGTTTTTTTTCGTATTTAATACAATAATCTGTGCATTCACACGAACAGGGTTGTTAATTCAGTGAAGATCACAATGCTTTATATAATCACTTGATTTTAGTAATTCTTCAGGTAGACAACTGATCCACATTCTTCACCGCATTTATCCCTTTGATGAAGATATCTTCACCAAAGGGATAAATTGTCTGGTATCCAGACAATCTGCTTCTTGAAGATCTAATTCAAGTTTTCTGAGACGATCTTACCCTTCTTACTAGTAGATCTGTGCCTTCAAGTTTCCTAAGAACATCCCACGATAGTAATTGGCAGATCCTTGCCTTAAAAGACCTCCACCGCCATTCTCAGTTTTTCCAAATATATTTCCAATCTACCAATCTGTGTTTAGCTGCACGTGTGACACTCCATTGGGTAAACCTTTGTTTTCCATCGTAGGTATGTGTCGCAGGTTGACCCTGACAATGTATATGCTGCAGGTAGAGCCTGACACTGTGTGTATTGCAGGTTGAGCTTCATGTGCACTTTCAGCAGCGGAAGATGCAGGAGTTCTGCAGAAACAACAACATCGTCATCACTGCCTACGGTCCACTAGGCTCCCCAGGTAGAAGCACGTAAGCACTCAACAAGGTCTCTCTCTCACGGTCTCTTAACTGAAGTCAGTAAAATTTTGCCACGTGATGACATTAATATTGAATATATGCACGCTGACTGTGTACACAGACCATGTGTATGGAGGTTATATGTAATAATTACTAAGTGTACACACACTGTTTGTATATAGACTTGCTGTAAACAGGCTATGCCCGGAGACTATTTATACTGTTTAGACTGTGTATGCAAGCTGACAGAAAACAGACAGAAAGACACAGTTAGTAGACACATACAGGGGGACAGAAAGATTCACTGATACATATACAGATGATAAGGCAGTGTTCATCATCAGAGCAGACACGGTACCACGGCTGCTGGATGACCCGGTGGTGCGGCTGGTTGCTGATAGACATGGGGTAACCACCGCTCAGGTCCTCATCCGCTTCCTCATCCAGCAAGGCATTATCACCATCCCCAAATCTACCAACCCTCAGCGCATCAAGACCAACGGAGAGGTGAGAACACACACACACAACAGTGGTCAGTTCTATAAGGTCAGTGTTGAAGGAGGAATTTCTATTTCTCAAGAAGGTAAATAAGAAACTGAAAATTCACCTGGATAAGTGAGGAGCAAATTGGCAGCCATTACAAGTGGGAATTAGTTTCCAGTAAAAAAGAAACATCAAAATGAAAGTAGAAAATCGCTTCTCTGTTCTCAAGGACGAATGTACTTCATCGGTCAGTGAGGATTAAGTTACCAATAACTAATAAAGATAAGAATATCATTGTGGTCAGTGACTCACAGGTAAAATATATTGACCGTGCTTTCTGTAACAGGAAGGTGAGATAGTGTTTCCCTGGACCTGGTGTTGGCAACATAGTCAACAGGTTGGTTAGCATCATGTCATGTAATGGGAATAAGCCCATTATCTGCCTTGGTGCAGGTGGAAATGATATTGGGAAGGGCAGGAAACAGGAGCTCTAGATAAGTACAGGACAGCCATAGGTTTAATTAGGTCTAAGGTCCAGGTCATAAGTAGCATCTTGCCTAGAAGAGGGATGTGCAATGAATGAGTGTCTAAGGCAATTGTTGGCTAGACAGGTACTGCAGAGAACTTGTAAATTCCATTCATTGACAAATGGGACAATTTCTATGGCAAACATAGGGCAAGTGTGGTAGTGTTAGCCAGCTCTGTCGAGGGGGCAGTTGCTGAATTATCTAGGACTTTAAACTGGCAGAAGAAATTCAAATTCAAATTCAAATTCAAAGTTTATTCTCTATAAGGATTACAATGCTGAGTTTACAGAAATTTGGTTATTGTGTGGTTTACATGTAGTAAAATAGTGATTACAGAGTGTACCACTAGAACGCTTAGCATGGCTAGGCATTTCGGGCAGACTTAGTTTTATTCTTAATTGTAAAATATTACAAATTATGAGGTAAGTTGGTATTATGGCTAAGTGACTAAATACTAGTTTGTGAGTTTAGCAATGTGAATGCTTTTGTTTTGGCACAGTACATAGTTTCAGTATTGGAGTATCACAGGATTCATTATTTTAAGATTGAGATTAATATTTCTGTTTATGGTCAAATGAGTGAGTGAGTGTAAGTGTGAACCACCAGGTGGTATTCGTGTAGTTAGTTGATGGGGTGTATCAGGGAGATAAGATGTTTTCTAATGGTAGTTTTGAAGGCGATGAATGTGTCTGCAGTTCTAGAGTTATCAGGTAGGGTATTCCAGATTTTAGGGCCTTTGACATACATTGAATTTTTGTAAAGGTTTAGTCGGACACGGGGAATGTCGTAGAGATGTTTGTGTCTGGTGTTATGCCTGTGGGTTCTGTCACAACTATCAAGAAAGCGCTTTAGGTCAAGGTTGATATTAGAGTTTAAGGCCCTGTAGATGTAGATTGCACAGTAGTAAGTGTGGATGTACTGAACTGGGAGTAAGTTTAGGTCTATGAAGAGTGGGGGGGTGTGTTGCCAGGGATGGGATTTAGTGATTATTCTTACTGCAGCCTTTTGTTGGGTTATTATTGGCTTTAGGTGTGTTGCTGCAGTTGATCCCCAAGCACAAATAGCATAGGTGAGGTATGGATAAATAAGTGAGTGGTATAGTGTGAGAAGGGCATTTTGCGGCACGTAGTATCGTATCTTGAAGAGGATCCCAACCGTTTTGGATACTTTTTTGGTTATATGCTGGATATGGGTGCTGAAATTCAGGTTGTTGTCAAGGTATAAGCCTAGGAATTTGCCCCCATTATTTCTGGTAATTAGAGTGTTGTCAATCTTAATGTTAATTTGTGCATCTCCTGCTCTGCTACCAAACATAATATAGTAGGTTTTGTCAGTGTTAAGCGTAAGTTTATTGGGTGTCATCCAAGTCGATATTTTGATCAGCTCCTCATTCACAATGGTGTTGAGGGTGGCAAGATTAGGGTGAGAGATGACATAAGTCGTGTCGTCAGCAAAGAGAATGGGTTTCAGGTGTTGGGATACGTTTGGAAGGTCATTGATGTATATGAGGAAGAGCAGGGGACCAAGGACACTTCCCTGCGGAACTCCAGTATCAAGTGGCCGTGTTGCTGATGCTGTGTCTTTAATGGTGACATACTGATACCTATTAGTAATGTAAGATTTGAAATAAGCAAGCGCATGGCCTCTTATACCGTAATGATCAAGTTTGTGGAGTAGGATGTCGTGGTCTACTGTGTCAAAAGCTTTTCTTAGGTCAATAAAAATTCCTAGTGGATATTCCTTATTTTCCAATGCTGTGTAAAGCAGATCTAGCATTTTTATGATTGCATCATTAGTGCTTTTATTTTTCCTGAATCCAAATTGGCAGGGGTTGAGTATGTTTTGAGCCGTTATAAATGAATACAGTCTCCTGTGCACGAGTTTCTCAAAGATTTTGGATAGCAATTGTAAGTTAGATATTGGCCTATAGTTGTTTAAGTCTGTAGGGTCACCACCTTTATGTATTGGTGTAACCCTTGCCATCTTGAGTAGTTTCGGGAAGGTGCTAGTCTCTAGTGACTTGTTAAAAAGTAATGAAATAGCATGCGAAAGGACATGGGCCGCTCGCTTGTACAGTAATGGTGGGACATGAGACAGATTCCCCGAGTTATTTTTAAGTGACTTTATAATCTCGGTGACTTCCGTGGGCTCAGTTGGTGCAAGATAGAAGGAATTAGGGAAATTCCCATCTAGGTAGTCCCCGGCATGGGCATTGGTATGTGGGATTTTACTGGCGAGATTAGATCCTATGGTTGAGAAGAAGTCGTTTATCTTGTTAGCTGTGTCAGTGGGAAAGAGGTATGGGTGCGTGTTGGAAACAAATAGGTTACAGTACAAGGGATGAAATGGACAAAAATGCCAGGATAAATCAGGATATGTTCAAAAGGCATTGTTTATCATAACAAAAATTACCATAAATAGATAAACAATAGATTAAAACATCTTACAGGTCAAATGAGCGGCATTTACAGGCGAATCAATGGGGAAAGAGGCACTTACGAAATTAATATATTTAATTAAGAGAGAAATATAAAAAGGAATAAGAAAAACCAAGAGAAATTAAAAAGTTAGTAGCAAGGAATTCGAAGATTATTTCAAAAGGTTTCTTTCAGATTAGGAACAATATAGGCCCACTTAAAAGTTGATAAATTAGACACATGTGCAACTCTTGGGTATCTTTATTGAGGAAACGTTTCGCCACACAGTGGCTTCATCAGTCCATACGTAGGAGAAACTAGAAGAACAGGAGGAGAATGAGGTAATCAGTCCCTCAACCTTGAGTCGATGTGTTCAGTCCATCTATCTTGAATAGATTGATGGACTGAACACATCGACTCAAGGTTGAGGGACTGATTACCTCATTCTCCTCCTGTTCTTCAAGTTTCTCCTACGTATGGACTGATGAAGCCACTGTGTGGCGAAACGTTTCCTCAATAAAGATACCCAAGAGTTGCACATGTGTCTAATTTATCAACTTGTCGGTTCTCTGAACCATTCATCCACTTAAAAGTTGTTTAGGCCTTGTGGCTTAGCGCTTCTTTTTGATTACAATAATACTTAAAAGTTGTTCTGGCCAGCTTACAACGTCAGTGATAATGAAATATGTACAGTCTTGAACACTTATTTCCTCTCAGTTTTTAGGCAGGATTCATACTAGATACTATTTTTTCACTAAGGTATTTGAGGAGGTAGATCATGATAATGAATATGATATTGTGTAACTGGACTTCAGTAACGCTTCTGATAGAGTTCCACACCTGAGATTGTTGAGGAAAGCAGAGGCACTCGGAACAGGAGTAGATTTTTTTTTTCATGGCTAGAGGTGTGGTTGACAGATAAGCAACAGAGTTTGTATAAATGAGAAACCAGAGCGGGGACGTGTCGCAAACGATTTTCCACATGGTCAGTGTTGGATCCTTTGCTCACAATATACATAAATGACATAGATAAAGAAATAAATAGCAACATATGCAAGTTCGCTGATGACACCAAAATAGGCCGTCGAATTAATTTTGACGAGGACACTACAGCGCTGCAGGAACCTCTGAATGGACAGATGTAATGGTCGGAGAAGTAGCTGATGCAGTTTACTAGACAAATGCAAAGTTCTAAGCCTTTGAATAAAAAATAACCATGGCACATATAAACTAAAACAAGGTTTCTGTTCACACCTGTCTTTCAGAACTACCTGCAGGTGTTATGCACACATACGTAACAAATTTCCTTCGGCAGGTGTGGAACTTCAGCCTGACGGAGGTGGAGATGGAGGCCTTGAAGTCCATAGACAAGGGGGAGGCTGGTCGCTCCTTTACCTTCGCTAGCTTCCCCGGGTGAGCTAACTTTCTCTGTTTTTTCCATAGATTTTGTTAATTTTATTTCTCGCAATTTATTCCTTGATTTTTGCCTAGACACACTTCGAGTGTACGTTATCATGGTCATAATTATATTCGTAATCACCGTCATCAATCACCGTCATCATGTCACCATCATAATCGATCATCATCATCTTCTCATCCATTTCTCACAAATGTTTATATTTTGGTTGCAGATTGGATGAACATCCTGAATTTCCTCTTTAAAGTTCAGCTGCCTGCCACTACCTCCATTATTACTACCACCATCACTCCTATCAGCATTATCGCAGCTGCCACCACCACCATCGACACACTACCACCATCGGCGTAAAACCACTACCACAACAACCATCAACTAACCACTATCACAGTCTTATGAACCGGTCCCAGGCCAACCTGAGCAAACTCTTCAAGTTAAGCACACTTAGGATGGTCAGTGACTGGATGTGAGACCTGGTTCTGGTTCACGACCGAAGAAAGAGTTTGATCCGCAGGGAGGGTGGGCAGCGAGGGCATGTTGCCGCTGCTCTCCTATCACTAGGTTTACCATATTTCCTTTGACTCAAACAGGAACATTTTTAAGAATTTGAAAAAAATAAATCATGTATACGTGAACTATAAAGTAGATATATTTTCTTTAGGGCAAACAAATGAGGGGTAAAATGTACCAGTTTCTTAATTAATGACTACAAACTGAGAAAGAACATAATGACTACAAACTAATTAATGACTACAAACTGAGAAAGAACATAATGACTACAAACTAATTAATGACTACAAACTGAGAAAGAACATAATGACTACAAACTAATTAATGACTACAAACTGAGAAAGAACATAATGACTACAAACTAATTAATGACTACAAACTGAGAAAGAACATAATGACTACAAACTAATTAATGACTACAAACTGAGAAAGAACATAATGACTACAAACTAATTAATGACTACAAACTGAGAAAGAACATAATGACTACAAACTAATTAATGACTACAAACTGAGAAAGAACATAATGACTACAAACTAATTAATGACTACAAACTGAGAAAGAACATAATGACTACAAACTAATTAATGACTACAAACTGAGAAAGAACATAATGACTACAAACTAATTAATGACTACAAACTGAGAAAGAAACATAATGACTACAAAACTAATTAATTACTACAAACTGAGAAAGAACATAATGACTACAAACTAATTAATGACTACAAACTGAGAAAAGAACATAATGACTACAAACTAATTAATGACTACAAACTGAGAAAGAACATAATGACTACAAACTAATTAATGACTACAAACTGAGAAAGAACATAATGACTACAAACTAATTAATGACTACAAACTGAGAAAGAACATAATGACTACAAACTAATTAATGACTACAAACTGAGAAAGAACATAATGACTACAAACTAATTAATGACTACAAACTGAGAAAGAACATAATGACTACAAACTAATTAATGACTACAAACTGAGAAAGAACATAATGACTACAAACTAATTAATGACTACAAACTGAGAAAGAACATAATGACTACAAACTAATTAATGACTACAAACTGAGAAAGAACATAATGACTACAAACTAATTAATGACTACAACTGAGAAAGAACATAATGACTACAAACTAATTAATGACTACAAACTGAGAAAGAACATAATGACTACAAACTAATTAATAACTACAAACTGAGAAAGAACATAATGACTACAAACTAATTAATGACTACAAACTGAGAAAGAACATAATGACTACAACTAGTTAATGACTACAAACTGAGAAAGAACATAATGACTACAAACTAATTAATGACTACAAACTGAGAAAGAACATAATGACTACAAACTAATTAATGACTACAAACTGAGAAAGAACATAATGACTACAAACTAATTAATGACTACAAACTGAGAAAGAACATAATGACTACAAACTAATTAATGACTACAAACTGAGAAAGAACATAATGACTACAAACTAATTAATGACTACAAACTGAGAAAGAACATAATGACTACAAACTAATTAATGACTACAAACTGAGAAAGAACATAATGACTACAAACTAATTAATGACTACAAACGAGAAAGAACATAATGACTACAAACTAATTAATGACTACAAACTGAGAAAGAACATAATGACTACAAACTAATTAATGACTACAAACTGAGAAAGAACATAATGACTACAAACTAATTAATGACTACAAACTGAGAAAGAACATAATGACTACAAACTAATTAATGACTACAAACTGAGAAAGAACATAAATGACTACAAACTAATTAATGACTACAAACTGAGAAAGAACATAATGACTACAAACAATTAATGACTACAAACTGAGAAAGAACATAATGACTACAAACTAATTAATGACTACAAACTGAGAAAGAACATAATGACTACAAACTAATTAATGACTACAAACTGAGAAAGAACATAATGACTACAAACTAATTAATGACTACAAACTGAGAAAGAACATAATGACTACAAACTAATTAATGACTACAAACTGAGAAAGAACATAATGACTACAAACTAATTAATGACTACAAACTGAGAAAGAACATAATGACTACAAACAAAATTAATGACTACAAACTGAGAAAGAACATAATGACTACAAACTAATTAATGACTACAAACTGAGAAAGAACAAAATGACTACAAACTAATTAATGACTACAAACTGAGAAAGAACATAATGACTACAAACAAATTTAATAACTACAAACTGAGAAAGAACATAATGACTACAAACTAATTAATGACTACAAACTGAGAAAGAACATAATGACTACAAACTAGTTAATGACTACAAACTGAGAAAGAACATAATGACTACAAACTAATTAATGACTACAAACTGAGAAAGAACATAATGACTACAAACTAATTAATGACTACAAACTGAGAAAGAACATAATGACTACAAACTAATTAATGACTACAAACTGAGAAAGAACATAATGACTACAAACTAATTAATGACTACAAAACTGAGAAAGAACATAATGACTACAAACTAATTAATGACTACAAACTGAGAAAGAACATAATGACTACAAACTAATTAATGACTACAAACTGAGAAAGAACATAATGACTACAAACTAATTAATGACTACAAACTGAGAAAGAACATAATGACTACAAACTAATTAATGACTACAAACTGAGAAAGAACATAATGACTACAAACTAATTAATGACTACAAACTGAGAAAGAACATAATGACTACAAACTAATTAATGACTACAAACTGAGAAAGAACATAATGACTACAAACTAATTAATGACTACAAACTGAGAAAGAACATAATGACTACAAACTAATTAATGACTACAAACTGAGAAAGAACATAATGACTACAAACTAATTAATGACTACAAACTGAGAAAGAACATAATGACTACAAACTAATTAATGACTACAAACTGAGAAAGAACATAATGACTACAAACTAATTAATAACTACAAACTGAGAAAGAACATAATGACTACAAACTAATTAATGACTACAAACTGAGAAAGAACATAATGACTACAAACTAATTAATAACTACAAACTGAGAAGAACATAATGACTACAAACTAATTAATGACTACAAACTGAGAAAGAACATAATGACTACAAACTAATTAATGACTACAAACTGAGAAAGAACATAATGACTACAAACTAAATTAATGACTACAAACTGAGAAAGAACATAATGACTACAAACTAATTAATGACTACAAACTGAGAAAGAACATAATGACTACAAACTAATTAATGACTACAAACTGAGAAAGAACATAATGACTACAAACTAATTAATGACTACAAACTGAGAAAGAACATAATGACTACAAACTAATTAATGACTACAAACTGAGAAAGAACATAATGACTACAAACTAATTAATGACTACAAACTGAGAAAGAACATAAAGCGCAAAGTAATCACTCTTTGTATTCTTTTTAAAAGTCAACGTTAAGTTTACAGCTTCTTATCGGCATTGAGACTGGAAAAAATATTAATTAAAACGTAACGGAATGATGACAGTCAAATATAAATTTAATTACTGATCTACTGGCGAGGGTAAACAAGAACATGTGGAAACCACGGAACGGGAGGGGTTGAACTCAGGGCGAGTGAGTTCTAAAACTCCAGGCCAGTGAGTAAGCCACCCGTTCCATGGTTATAATCTTTATGTGTACAGGTACATGATACAGATTAGACTTAAGCTGACATCAGTGACATACTGTATAGAAAGCCCTTTGTTATGCAGAACATTTCGGGCAACTTAAGTTAATTTTATCCGCGGGATGCGACCCACACCAGTAGACTAACACCCAAGTACCTACTTACTGCTAAGTGAACAGTGACAGCAAATGTCTTAACGAAACACGCCCAATGTTTCTATCCGTACTAGGGATCGAACCACGGACACTCATCAGTGTGTGAGCCGAGTGCGCAACCAACTGAGCTACGGGACATTTTGGTTTGTTTGCACTCGTGTTAGTACAATTTCGTGAACCACATGCAACTAATCAACTAGAGACAACTTCACGAACACTTGTGTCATGGATGATCGTCGTACTGAGACAGACAACAGTGTTAGCTGTCGGCCGAGAATGCTATAAGCGCAAACATGAGCATTGTAGCATATTTATTGAAATTTCAGTTTTTCATATTTATACTCTGTTTTTCTTTTGTTTTTATCGTTGTGATGTTTCTGTCCGGGACAAAAATAACAAACTGACCGGGACTTTGGGACAGGACAATCCCGGTCATGAAGGGACGTATGGTAAGCCTACCTATCACCATCAAAGGCTACTAGGTGCTGGTCTGCCTTTGTGAGTGTCATCCTTGATGGATGGTAAACCGTAGCTACATCCAGGCTACGATAACATGTACGATAACAGCAGCTGCCTTCTAAAATGAGCCGAGGTAGAACAACAGCAGTTGCCGTCTACAATAAGCCAAGATAATAGCAATTAACATATATTATGAGCTGAGGCAGGATAATAGCTCATAGCTTGTAAAACCACAAAAAACTCTACAAACCAAAAATATAAAAAAAAATGAATAGAAGAAAACTCCCGATGTCGATAATCAACATTATTCTGCCAACCAGAGTAAGGGGGGGGGAAGAAATCCGTTGTGTATTGATATAAATAACAAAACGGCACAATACCATGACTGGAACAATACACAAATAACCTGCACATAGGAGAGAGGCGCTTACGACGTTTCGGTCCGACTTGGACCATTTACAAAGTCACAGTGTGACTTTGTAAATGGTCCAAGCTCCCCTCTCTTATGTGCGGGTTATTTGTGTGTGTATTGGTATATTGTTACTCTGCAAAAGTAACAATAAACCACGTAGAAGTAATATTTGTAAATAATTTGTAAAGGGTTAATAGACAGGTGGGTGTACTGGCAATATCTTAATAGCCTCTGGTAAAGGTTGAGGTTCAGACATAGTTGTAAATTCTCGTGTGTCAACGGTAGTAGGAGCCATTAAGCTAGGGAGGTGGCGCTCACCTGAGTATTTTGAAAAAAAAATCATGTATCATCTGTACTTAAAATGAATATTTTGTAATTTGAAGTGGCAATTGATGTACAGGTGCTATTACTATTTATAATACTAATATTTTCCTTTCAATAAATTTCCTAAGTTCTGGGATTTTCTACATACTGTGACATAATGAACAGTTCACAGTAAAGAGACTGCTATATAACAGTAATGGTTATAATCATAACCATGATTTTTAAAGAGGT